AAGAGCTAATAGCTCTCCGGGAGATATATGACTCAGTAACTATTGCTTAGTTCCTAATGGAGTTCCAAACCATTATTACTTACAGAGTAATTACTGAGTATTCATTAGTAGTTAACAATAGCGAGGTAGGCGTTGATATAGTGCTAATCATTCATTCCTGCTCAGTGACTGCAAAGCTCCTTATAAGTTACTGAACGGTATTATAACCCAATTCACATGACACGTTGATGTATGAATATGCTACAGTTAAAGCCGCCAATAGACTTTTACTCCATGTACAAGGTACAGCCTGACGCTTATACCTCAGCTCCAACCTAACGGCATGAATTTGATCCTTTCCAACTTCTCTTACCACATCCATGATCTGCCTCAAGCTGAAGCTGAAGTTGACGGTGAGCGTCTGGGTGTCGTTAAACACAGGTCTCTCTAGAGGGTTGTAATCCTTCATGAGGTCTCGATACAGCCTCCTCTGATGCTCTCCTTGAATGGACGCTGTAAGGACGACAGAGTTAATCAGCTAACGAAGTGCAACTCTTTCGACCTGAGAGAGCACTTTCGACCTGAGAGAAGCGATCTGGGCTGTGCAAGTGCACGCAGAGAAAGTCTTCAGCATCGGGAAGCAAATGAGAAGTGTTTGCAAATCAACTCGAACAGCTTGAGCAGCTCATTGGGATGTAAACGTATCGATTCGAAACTCTAATCAGTGACTTTCTGCTCAGTTTCAGGGCTTGAAGCTCTATCAGTCTTAGAGTCTGATAATTCACTACCTGCTGTCACATAAACACACTGATCTCTAAAAGTAAACTTCAACAGATGCAGAAAAACATCACATTTCACATTTTAACCATTTAAATGACCTTTGATTTTGTATTTGGTATAAATGTTTTTGTCCAATTCAGTGCTTTTGATGAATTTTTCAGCCCTCACAGCTCTCCAGTCGCAGGTTTACATTAATGTGCTCATTCTAATGTTATCATTTCTGTAGTAATATTTGTTATTATATATATATATATATATATATATATATATATATATATATATATATATATATATATATATATATATATATATATATATATATATATATATATATATATATATATATATATGGAATAATTGTTAATATTGTAAAGTTTTCTGTAAAGAGATTTATTTATTTATAGAAGGAGTCTCCAGTGTCATATTTTTGTAACGGTAAGTCTTCCTCCATGAGAAAGTCTTCAGGAAAGATAACTTTGTACGTTCTGGTTTCTTGTTAACACAATAAGCTGTATTGGAAATTTTATTTTATCATCAACAGAGAGGAAAAAATAGAGGCTGGTTAGGGGAATGACTGTTTTATAGGTGCGATAATGTGAGTGATAAAAGGTGTCACGATTTCCCATTGAGTCAGCGCTGCAATATTGCAGCGTGCTCGGAAAACCCAAGCGCAAGCTCGTGCGCGAGCTATTAGCGAACGCACGCTTTTCGGTCTTCAGAGACATTGACTTTGTTTACATTGGACACGTGCTTTTGTTATGGTGATGTTCTGTCTCCGCCCTTGTTTTGTCATTTGTTGTTTCCCGAACGTGTGTCATCGTTGGTTTCAGCTGTCCTGTGTTTAACCCATGATTACGTTTCTCATTTAAACCTCTCGTGTCTCGTAGCACTTTTCGTAGTATTGAGTTTATCTCTTTACCAAGCAGTTAGTCATAGTTCTCATTCTCGATTCATGTTTATTGACTTTGTCTCTCGTTTTGTGTTTTGCCTTGCCCTGTTTATGCCTGTTTGCCGATCGCCTGACCTTTTGCATGTTTTTGACCACGCTGTAGTCTTACGTTTTGGATTTGTATGCCTGTCTCGCTCTAATAAAAGTCTTTAACTGCACTTGCATCCGTCCTAAACCCCCATTACGTGGATTACATGACAACAGGAAATAACTTGTTTCACAGACAATCCACAAAATGAAATGTAACTATAAATGGTTAAAAGTGCAACATGTTGTTCATTGTTAAATTACAAATTGTAATTGTTAGCAAACTGCCGTGGTCTAAGAGGAATAAAACACTTAGGGACGCACTGTTTTACTAACTGCTTCACATCAGACCACACCATCGTTGATTATTTTCCAATAACAGCACACCCTGAGTGTTATTGAAAAGGCTAATCATGACAAAATCCCATTAAGGGTTATCAAAAATCTGTGATGCACTGTCATACATCAACAATACTCTGCAAAACTTGTTTTCCCGTCTAAATGCACCTGTAATTAAATATTCCCTCTTTTTTTCAGCAAAAGTTCAAGAGGCCATGTGGTTCTCATGAGCTCTTTTACACAAGGGGACATTTGTAGTCAAAATACTGGCGAGATGAAGACTTGCTTTGTGTCAGGTATTATTCCCAGAAGACTTTAACCATTCATAATCAACTTTCGCTCCCAACCATCTGTGAGGCTATGAGATCAAGCCTTTTAATGCATTATGTGATTCATCCAGAGATGGTAAGATAGATGTGATGCGTTGAGAGAGGCGCAGACTCCGTATACGGAGAGAAAGCATCAGCTGTAATTGCAAATTAAATTTAAGGTTAGTCAGATGAACAGAAATGGAATGGAGTGCCAGCCATAATCCCTCTGGAGGAAAAAATAAATTCTATGTTGTGATTAAAGACCTAAAACAGAATCTTCCACCGAGGAGAAACACAATAAATGCAAGCAAATGAGAGGAAACATGTTCTATATGTTCTATATGTTCTGTTCTATATTTCTTCACAACTATTTAAAAGCAATTGACAGATACTGTATTTCACAAAACCGGAAATACTGCAACTTCAATCCGTAATTGTAACAGTTCAAGCTTAAATCTTTTGATACACCAACAAAGTAGACTGAAATGTCAAAGACATGTCCAGGATAAAAATTATTATGATTATTATTATTATTTTTTGTGAGCTGTGATGAAAACATAGCAGTTTTGAGCTCTCTCTGGACGCACGTATGGATTTGTTACGAAACCAAGGCAGAATCTGAAGAGTACAAGAATGCACTTACGTTAATATTATATCACGTAAAACCGAATCATGATTTTCATACGCGCGCGCACACTTATACAGTCAAGTGCAAAAGTTAGCACACCCCATTTAAACGGAGCTTACATTTACAAGCTTCTTGTTGATTCTGACATCCCATTTGATCGACATACTTTATGTATTCTAACTTTTCTTATACCGACTACTTCAGATCAGATCTCGGAGGCTTGTGTGTTGATTTCCCCATATACTTGGGCTTATAGCTTTGTATACATTTGATCATTTTTCATTAAACACAGTAGCCTACATACTGTACATTAGTGCGTACACTAATAATATGCATGTTCTGATGAAATGAAACAGAACAGAAAAATAATGCAAATGTTCACTGGACACATAGACAATTGTCTTTAATAAACAAACAAACAAACAAACAAATAGATCAGTGAATTTGCCAGCTAAAGTTAATGCAGAAACAATTCAATCAGCCTTAAGTGCTTCTTCATAAGTGGCCTGAAGCTTAATGAAACAGCATTCCTGTAATACAGCCAGAGAAGTATTCTTATCAGGAATAATCATCAGATATAACAAATAAGAGTCAAATCTACTATAGGAGCACAAAATAAGTTTTGTAGTGGTTTGGAGAATAAAAGAAGAATAAAAAAAAATCTCTGATTGAGATTGCATTAGTGTGCAGTTCAGAGTTAAATAAAGACTGCAACATCAGAGACCTTCATGCATTAATGGGTTAAACAGTTTAATTATGTACTGTTAATATGCACTTTATTTTTATTTTTTCCCCCTGCAGTGTAATATTTAATCCAACATGCGTTTGATTACTCACCCCTCCACAAACATGCAGTGACTGCTAAACAAAGCGCAAAACCGCAAATTCCCATTTTAGCCTGGAAAATGAGAAAGAAATCAGGACTGGGAAATATCCCGAGTCGGACCCGCTCCTGCTTCAGGGGTGGAGACGCTCGTATATGCGGTGTGTATGCGGTGTGTAAGGAGAGATAGAAGCCTGTGCGGTTGCCAGATTGGAGCGATTACCTCCAAAACAATCCGTATTAATTGAAATCCCCCCAAATTCAATACAAACAGGGACTGAGGTCTGATTTAATGGGAGTTTGTCTTTTGTTCTAGATTTATACAAAGGAAAAGAGATGGATTCAAATTTCCAATCTGGCAACCCAGGAGCACCCTATCCTTTCTCGGTTAGGATCAGGCTCCTCCCCTTTTGTGACGGATATAATTGTGAGTCTTTATTGGTCACACATATATGCCCAGTGAAATTCTTTTCTTCGCATACCTCAGCATGTTAGGAGGTTGGGGTCAGAGCACAGGGTCAGCCATGCTACAGCGCCCCCTGGAGCAGAGATTGTTAAGGGCCTTGCTCAAGGGCCCAACAGTGGCAGCTTGGCAGTGCCGGGGCTTGAACTCCCAACATTCTGATCAGTAACAACAAGATAAACATTCTGGTTGGTTAAATGTTCACTCCTGATAAGGGTGTCTGCCAATTTCCGTAAATGTAATTAGCACCAGAATCGATAAAACACATTAGAGATATTTTGATATAAACACATTTTATATGTTTCCGCGGAGTTTTCCCTTACACGGTGTATGTAGAATTTGATAAAACTACTCTTCTCTTTTTGGTTAATTATGAATTCCACTATTGTTTTTCATTTATTTAAGGAATCCTGTTTGAAACCATGATTAGTTCCAAAAACGCACCCCATTTCAATTAAATCCCCAAAAGAGGACATTATGCTGATTGATATAAAAGTATAGAATTCGTGTAACTTTATCACCCACCTGAGACTATTTAATCTCTCAGAGCTCATTGTAAAGACTTTCTGATCTTCCAAATATTATATCCTGCAAGTTTATTGCGTCAACTTCAACTCAGCAGGGATACACCCTGGATGGGACTCTATTCCATCGCACCATATGCACATGTACACAGGATAGTGGCAATTTAGAGTCCCTTTGTACAAGTGGCGCAATCGGTCAGCGCACTGTACTTACACTGCAGTATGAGTGAAGCAATGCTGAGGTTGTGCGTTCAAGCCTCACTTGGAGCATGGTTTTTGGGCAGTGCAGGTGTACTGATCAAAAGAACGGGGGGTTGACACCCCAGCGCTGCCTCTCTTGGCCCCTTAACAAGTGGTGTCCAATCTTATTTGGAAAGGGCCGGTGTGGGTGCAGGTTTTCAGCCCAACCAAGCAGAAGCCACATTTGAGTCTATTGAAAGCCGAGCTCAACCGGTGGAATCAGGTGCACCCACCCAAGCTTTTTGCAGATAAGATTGGACACCCCGACCCTAATCCTCTCTGTGTCGTATCATGGCTGAACCTACACTTTGACCCCGGCTTCTTAACAAGCTGGGATATACTAAGAAAAGAATTTCACTGTGCTATAATGTATATGTGACAAATAAAGACTTCGTCTAGCTGTGTTTTTAGAAGGTGGGAGGAAACTGGAGAACCCAGACAAAACCAACACAGACTCCGAACGTGCAAGATTATCTGGGATTTATTCCAAAATGTTATATTCATACTGAATTCCTATAGTATGCAGTGTATTTCCATAGAGAACAGAGAGATTTGGGGATTCCTGTCTTCATCATCTGTTTTATTCTAATGTCATTTCACATATTTCATTCTGTCACCTCATGCCTGTGTACTCAACTCTATTCTTTTCTATTCTGATGTCATTTCATGTCTGTATCTATGTCTATTCTAATCTTTTCTCTTTGAATCTGATTTCATCTCATGTACTCTAATTTATTACTGTATGTTGGTTATTTGTCTCCCATTCTATACTGATACCATATCATGCAAAGAAATATATATATATATATATATATATATATATATATATATATATATATATATATACATATATATATATAATTTTGGGTAATTTTATGATTGGCATAGCTATGCTCTTATTAAAACAGATTAAGTCTAGTATACTTTTTAGGTTTGTTGCTTTCTCATTTCCCTTTCAGATAAGTTTCCACGTTGAACCCCTGTAGAGATCTAGACCATCCAAAAACCCATTAAAGGAACATTTTCCCCAACAGTGCGTACAAGAAATCACGTGATTTCAATTCATATTCACATCACGCAGCAGCTTCAATAACTCTTTAATTACTGGTATTCGCGGTCCTTTGGTTCTGCATAGTTATATAAATTTTAGTGTATCTACACAGTTAGAGATTTTTGTGTAAATGAATGTATCCTGAATCCCACAATGACAATCCCAGTAAGAACGGTTATATTCAGGAGTATCCTATAAGAATAGAGAAAACAGTATTCTATATGCATACATCGAATATTGTGTATAATACACTATTATCTGATCCTTCATAGCACGGAGAATAAAAACTCCAAGCTCAGTGTTTTGCTGCTCTCCCAGTGTGGTTTACAGTGATGCTGTTGGAGCTCTTGCAACTCATGTGCTGTGTGATTGAGAGCGAGGCAGAGACTTGGCCTCCAGCCTGACTGCACGGACTGGCCTTCCTCAGCTAAAGCTGTGTATTGAGTCGTGTGCACCTGGAGAATGAGAGCGCACGTTTCAGCACAGTAAGCGTTTACAGGACCCTACAGTCAAGCCTAGTAATAATCACTCACACAGTACCAGATGGACCAAACACTCCGCATAGATCAACACCTGAGAACAGCTGCAGGACAACCTCATAAGGACAAACACTCACGGTTTATGTTTAGGGGAAAGAGATGGGCAAGGTTTTAGATTGCTTTCATATCGTTCTATAATACTCACTGGGGATCATCATCATCATCATCATCATCAAATCTGTTTAGCTATTTTGAATTGTATACAGAGATTAGGTAGGGGACATCTAGTTAAAAAAAAATTGTCTTTATTTTAAACATTAAAAAAATGCGCTTTTGTCAAACTTTTAAATCATGTCAGATTTTTTTTATCATTCTGTTCTACTCTATTCTAATGCCATCTCATGCCTTTATCATCTGTTCTATTCGATGTTTGTTCTATTCTATTCTATTCTATTCTTTTTTGAGGTCATCTGTGGCCTTTACCATCTTTTTTATTCTGATGCCTTTATCTCAATTCTATTCTACTCTATTCTATTTTATTCTATTCTATTCTGATGCTATCAAATTGATGCCTTATTATACATGCATTCTAGTCCATTCTACTCTATTCTATTAATCTCACGCTGTATCAATATAATAATAAATAATAATAATAATAATAATAATAATAATAATAATAATAATAATAATAATAATAATAAACTTTATTTTATAAAGCGCCTTTAAAGTGGCTTCTCAAAGCGCTGTACATTAAAAGACAAATCACAGAATAAATAAAAACTTCATCTATTCTAGTCAATTCAATTCTATTCTAATGCTTTTTATATTATCTATTGTATTCTGATGCCTTTATCATGTATTCTGAAGTAAACTTTTTATGACTGTTTCTTCTATTCTATTGTCTTCTATTCTGATGACATCTCATTGCCTTTCTATTCTATTCTATTCTATTCTATTCTATTCTATTCTATTCTATTCTATTCTATTCTATTCTATTCTATGTATTCATTGAATAAATGAATAAACTATTTAATAAGGTATAAATGACAGTATCAACAGTTGAGCATAATAGGGTTAATAAAATCTAGAGCTTGCATGAAGTTAAACAGTAATGCCAGCAAAAGTAGCAAACACTAACTCAATCTTTGAATGAATATGCAAAGGCATGGTCAATGTCTCACACTGAGTCGTATTGCACATGGCGTCCATTATTGATCGTCTGCTCTGACTAAGAGATTGTAAGCGTAACCCTCCATCTTACTGTCAATATAATGTGACACACAGCAATTTCCCAATATATATCTTATGCAAGCTTGTAAAGCTAGACAAATCCCTTCTGCAGCCAGATGTCAGATAGACCAAGTGCTAGATATTGCATTACTTATTACTTAGTGTTGTTTACTGGACCTTGCAGCGGGATTTATTTATGAAATCTGATGCTTTCGACTTTATCATCTATAAACACAGCCAGGTTCTGCCTCATAACTCTGCACAGGCACTGTGTAATGGAGCAGCTAAATGTCTTGATGCATTTCAAATACAATGTGCCATCTGGTGGCTGAGGAAACAAAGGACAGTGGATTACACAGTCTCAAAACTAATTATGAAATAATTAAAAATGTCTTGATGTGCAGTTCCCGGCAGATTTTTACAAATTAAAAAGACAATGTGTTATAATGTTAGCATTTCTTTCAGTAAAAGCTTTCACAGGGACTTTTATGGCAGATACTCAATGATGTTGCTCCTGATACAGTCATACCACACACACACACACACACACACACACACACACACACACACACACACAGACACACACACACACACGCACACACTACAATGTCAGTGTCACTGCTGTGCTGAGAATGAACACCACCCAAATTCCATTCCATCGACTGAAAGAGTAGAAGGGAGCAATACATTTTACATAGTCGCACATGTGCTACATTCGGTAATTGTAGTGATATAGGGGTTTAACAATAATTTTGTATTAACTGTTTAGGAGTTACAGCCATTCATTACAGTGCCTCAATTTTTACAGGCTCAAAAGCAACCAGGCAGTTGACTGATAAGCAGTTTCAAGGCCAGATGTGGCCTGTTTCCTGGTTATTTCAAGACAAATTAAGGAGATACAAGTTCTGGAGATGTTTCCAAGTGTTAATTTTCATTTGATAGCTGTTCATGGGAACTCTCAATATGCAGTCCAGAGAGGTGTTGATGCAAGTGAAGGAAGCCATCATTAGGATGGAAAAACACAACAGACCTATCAGAGAGATAGTAGAAACTTTAGGAGTGGCCAAATCAACAATTTGTTACATTCTTAAAAAGAAGGAACGCACTGGTGAGCTCAGCAACGCTAAACGGCCTGGAAGACCACAGAAGACAACTAAAGTAGATGACCTCAGATTTCTTTCCTTGATGAAGAAAAACCCATTCACAACATCTAGACAAGTCAAGAACATTCTGGAGGAGATAGGCGTATCATTGTCAAAGTCTACAATCAAGGGACGCCTTCATGGATGTAAATACAGACGGTTTAAATCTAGACGCAAACCACTGGTAACACGCAAGAACAGAAAGGGCAGATTAGACTTTGCTAAAAAAAAAAAAGAACTTGTACCAAAATGATGTGAACAGAAGAGTATGGAGAAGGTAAGGAAGGTCTCGTGTTCCCAAGCTTACCACATCATCTGAAAAAACATGGTGGAGGAAGTGTAATGGCACGAGCATGTACGACTGCAAATGGAACTGGATCACTGGATATTTATTGATCACGTGACTGCTGATAGACATAACAGGATGAACTCTGAAGTGTATAAAGCTATAATTTCTACTCAGATTCAGTCAAATGCTGCAAAACTGAATGGACAGCACCCACAGTACAGATGGATAACGACCCAAAACCTGTGTAATGACTTCAACCTAATTCAGCATGCTTTTCACTCACTGAAGACAAAACTGAAGACAGAAAGACCCACAAACAAGCAGCAATCATAAATAGCTGAATTAAAGGCCTGGCAAAGCATTTCAAGGGGGGAAACTCAGCATTTGATGATGAGCATGGGTTCCAGATTTCAGGCAGTCATTGACTGCAAAGGATTTGCATCCAAGCATAAAAACAATCCTAATATTTATGATTATGTTAGTTTCTCCAATTAGTTTTGAGCCTGTGAAAATGGAGGGACTCCATCATTTTTATGTGGCTGTAATTGTCTGTAATTCCTAAATGGTTAATGCAGTATTGTTGCCAAACCCATTGAAATAAACAATCACATCTTGATTGTTTAGTTTCAAATCTATGGTGGTGGCATACAGAGGCCAAAATGACAAAAATATTGTTATTAATGTTCAAATATTAATGGACCTGACTTTGTGTATATATATATATCTATATATATATATATATATATATATATATATATATATATATATATATATATATATTATAACGTGGTGTGAAAAAGTGTTTGCCCCCTTCCTCATTTCCTGTTCCTTTGCATGTT